CAATTACAGCCAAGAAGAGCCTAGGGACCCTGGCCTACTTCAGAGCCAGGGCCTGTATTTTCTTTGGGAAAAGAAGGCAGAGTTGATTGGCTTCCAAACCAGACTTGGCAGAAGTTTATACAGATCGCGGGCCAGTAAGCGGTGTCTTAGTAGACCTGGATTGTCATAGGCGCTCATTCAATAAATGAGACGAGCCCTGTGCTAGCCATCCGGCTCGCGTGGATGGAAAAGACGTGGCTCCATCATCAAAGGGGAGGCAGGCCGACCGTGATGACACAGTAGGCTAGTTGTATATGAATTACAGTGAGCACCAGAGAAGGAGCACAGATGTCCCTCTAAATCCCAAAATTCACTGACATGCTGTGCCCGGGTCACACTGGCACTGCTGTCCCTTTTCCACAGCCCCTCTCCAGGGAACTTGTCCCCTGGTACTTCGTGTAAGCACATGCAGGGCGGGGCACACAGCGTCTCTGCTGCCACAGACAATTCAGGTTTGTGTGCCACCAGCGTTTCCAGGGCATCCCTCTGTGCCCAACACTGTGCAGAGTGCTGTCACAGAGATTTCCCTGTTTGCCCCTCACAATAACCTCACCAGGCACCAGCCTCGTGATTCTTGGTTGAGCGGGAGGACCGAGTGTCACCTGTCACCGTCTGCTGTAGTTTAGCAGTCTGACCTTAGATGATTCCATTTATCACCACGCCAGGCCTCCGTTTCCTTATCTGTAAAAATGAGGAGGTTGTCTAGAGTGGCTTCCAACTGCCAACATTGTGTTTTGGTGAGTTCTCCTACACACGTTCAAGGGCTCACTCTTTACAGAAAAAGCTGAAAGCAGATTATCTAGGGGGGTCCACAGGAAGCCTGCTGGGTTTTAACGCAGCCTTGCAAATAGTGCAGCAACACTTACCAGTCTGCAGACAATCGTGCTCACTGCTGATTACAGAGCATCCCGGCACGGTTTGGGATTTGGTGGTAATAAACAGTGCAGATCCAGAAATGGCGGGACCTGTTCTCAGGGGCATTGAGCAGCTTTTGATATTATTAGCCTTATTTTCCATTTGTCCCACCCCACCCCCACCAGTGGTGGCCTGATTTCTTTGTGCTGAGTTTGTGTGCTGGGACTCTGGAAGGGGGCAGGGCCTTCCAAAAGAGTCAGAACACCTGCGTTCTAACCCACCAAATGCCCTGGGGCTCCAGAAGCTATGTACACCGAGGTGAGTTGGTAGGAAAGTCCACCAGGGTACAAGCAGCAGTACTGTGTGTAGAGAATTTAGAAACAAAAGTAAAATCAACTAAAAGTCAGTCGGCTTTTTATGCACACCGTACTTTGGCAATTTGTAGCAATATCAGTGATAAAACAGTTCTCCCTCACAACCCTGACCTCTCCCACTGCTCCATTTGGTTCCCTCCATCCTTGGTCACCACTGCCCAGAGGAAGAAAGCAGGCAGTCTGAAGGGCTTTGCGTTTCCCACAACCCCAGGCTCTCTCTGCCAGACTACACCCAAAGTCATAGCAACTGTCCACCACTCTGAACCCAACACCCTGCCGTTCAGCACTCTCGGCTTTGCCCGTCCCTCTAAAACAAAAAAATGGATTTCTACTTTTACTTTCAAACAGTTTCACTGAGATGGAACATCTTAGTTTCTATAGCGAAGGCTGGCTTCATGGGCATGCAACCAGCACAGTGGCGCAGGGTCCCACACCCAGAAAGGGACCACTGAACTCAGGGTGCAGTGCTCTGTGGTTGCCGTCTTGAAATTCTTAAGAATTTTATCTCTGATTATGTGATTTGTAAGTGAAGGGCAATGGGATAACGGAACACGTGCCTGGAGACTCTGCACATTGATGCAAATGCACTCACACTTCCTGCGGCCACCCTGCCTCTAAATACTGTGTTTTGCCATGCATCATGTGCACCTGTGTTTTTGTGCACATTATACACCCACAGTACACAATCCTTATAATTCACGTCCTTATTTTTTCCCACAAAAATTTGGGCAAAAAGTGCACATTCTACACAGCAAAATACAATGATTTTTGCACGAGGCCCTGCCCATTGCGTAGCTGGTTCTGCCTTTAGCCACCCTCACTTCCAACTCTGACCTCAAGTGCCCAAGCCTCCACCTCCACCTTGTATGCTCTGTGGTGTGGACACCGGGGAGGGGCACAGGCACAAACAGGAAGGAAAGGGCTCCTGGCCTCGGAGAAGAGAGAGTCTAGTGGGTAAACCATGTAAAACCCTGAGGGTTGCCATACCTACCACCATTGCCAGTTGGAGAATGTGCTGCAGGAAATGCAAAAGGAGCGGCAATTGCTGCTGCTGGGAGCCTCACAGAAAAGTTAGTTTTTGAACCAGGCCGTGCAGAATGGTAACATGTCAACAGGAGAAGAGATGAGAATGTTCAAGGTGGAGGGACAGCACGTGAACATGGGCTGGTAAGCATATTCAAGTACCTTTTGAATAGAGAATGAGGCTGGGGTGAAGGGTGTGTGAACCCAGTGGTAATATGATGAAAAGACAGATTGGGCCAGAGTTCCCAGTACCCCTCTCTCTTTCCCTAGTGTCACCCCTCTTCTCTAAACTGCGGGTTAGGGTTCCTTCATCTATCAAATGAAGTTGGATTAAATACTCTCCTTCTAATACTCTTCGGTTCTGTGGGGAGGCCACCAGCCATAAAGGCACATCCCCAGTCCACTGGCATCATCCATTGTTCTTCCCAGCAGCTCACCTTTGTAATGACCTTGCTAATCCGCACATTGACTCTTCTAATGCCTGGGGCCTCCTCCCCCACTAACCACACTCAATCTCTTTCCTTATGAGCAGATGCTCTGTGTGTTCTGAGTTTATAGTGGCTGGGTTTTGGGGGGGTTTAAAAATTTGGTTTTTGATAGTCAGTCTCAAATTAGTTTATTGCAACTGTATTCTGTTTGGGAGTGGGGAGGTGGGCGAAGGTGTTATAGTTTGAGTGATATGTACGCCATATTTGTTTTTCCACTTTAATTTTGTTGGTGCTGCACAATTCAAGGAAAACTCACTTATGTGCAGAGTGAGACAGAAATGAGTTATCCTGTGGGAACGACTTTCCTAGGACAATACGGTTCCTAGGGCAAAACTCTAGGGTCGGGAAGCAAAGCTAGACTCCTCTGCTCAGCTTGATCTTGAGGGAGTCAGTTGTCCAGAAAGTGGTTCCCATGGAAGAAGGATGGTCCGCTTATCAGAGAGACAGGCCAGGAGCCAGGAGGCGGAAATTGGAACAAAGTGCCTGCAACGTCGCTGGCCTTTGGGGACAAGAGAGAAGTTTTTCAGATGAGATGGGAGCAGAGGCTGCGCCTGTGAGTCCTGGGAACCAGTCAGCATGGGTAGGCTCAGACACAGGTCCTGGGTAAGCAGGACAGCGTTTCTGTTTCTCTTGACACCTTCATTTATTTTCCTTCTATTTTCCTCCTGGGTTTAGTCAAGTTTTCCTGAAAATACCAAAGGTGAACCGAGGGAAGGGTTTTTAGCTCCCAGGTTTAGAGCTGTAAAGAGGAAACAGTACATTCCTGGGGGCCTGTGAGATGGTGGTGGTGGGAATTAAAGAAGGGACACCTCTAGGTGAATGGGTGGCGTGAGCCACAGGGTCCAGGTCAGGGTGACTTGTTCAGCAACCCTGACAAGACAGTCTCCTTCCAGGGCCAAGCTTTGAAAATCTGGGCTTTGCTCTAGTGAGAGACCAGCAAGGAAGGTATCTTGAGATCAGCCCACTAATTCCATAAAGACGCAGTGAAAACCCCATGTTGAGGTTCTGTTAGAGCAAGAGAATGAGAGTGTTGATGGGTTAAAATGCCATTAAACAAGGAGATGGCAGAATTAGAAATCTAACCACTACAAGAAACATTTTGTAATGTAAACATTTATAGGCCAAACAAACAAAAAAAATAATCTGCAAGGAATCTTGCTGTTCAGGGCAAGTCCGGCTCATTAATTTCAGCTGGTTGCTGCTGCTGCTGCCGACCGCTTGTGAAGACGGTCTCCAGGCAGCGGTTGGGTGTCCTGGGGCAGCATGTTCACCGGGGAGCTGGCGGAGCACCCTGAAACTCAGGCCCTCTCACAGAGTGGGTAGTGGCCCCACGTGTTCATTTCCAAGGGTCAGAGAACAGCTCCCCCAGGCATGGCCCAGCCAGGGATGAGTCCATCTCGGATGTCCCAATACAGAAGCAACCAACCCAACCCCCAGCCTCAGGCAGGGTATTCCTTCGAGAGCCCTGGGGGCTGCAGCCGGGCACAGTAGAGCTGTTTCTTGAGACACTTGCGTGGCTGCTGCTGCCAATAAAAAGCCATAAAGATGCATTTATAATTTTCAGGTTCAATTTCTTCATACTTTGCCAATGGGGAGTGGGCAATGGTCTTTTCAGGCTCCAGCGATGTTTGAAGGAGTGGCAGGATGCAGTCCACACCTGCCGCAGAAGGCCGCGGATGAGGAAGACCTCAGGCGCAAGTGCAGTGGGTGCCATCTGTCCGGGAGACAGCGGGGGCCGAGGGCTGGAGCGCGGTCCTCACCCTGCCCCCACCTTTGTGGCACGGGTCCTAGGAAGAGACCTAACGCTCTTACGCTGTAATTCTTTCCACCAATGCTTTTGGTTTATTTTGTTTTAAAAAATGTGCTTTGCACCCTCCCTTATGCTTGTACAACATGTGCGTGCACACACACACAGCACACATCTCTTTCCCCGTCACACAGCCGCAGGGTTAGAAGAAACACTTGAGCTGAAGGCACTGGGAAGTCTAGGAGAGAAAGGCACGCTAGAGATGCAGGAGAGTGGCAGGAAGGCAGCAGTTCCCAGGGCTGAGGACGGACAGACAAGCTCTGTCTCTGGGCGTCAGAGAGTTCTGTTTGCTCACCTAGAATGGCGACACCCTGCTCTCTCTGACCCGCACAGGGACACTTGACCGCTGGTAGCTGGTCCCAGAATGACATCAGCTACCACAGCCTGCTAGTAACGCCTGTGTTTCCTTTTCAGATCTTACAGGTGAACAAGGTGATGTCCATCTTGTTTTATGTGATATTTCTCGCTTATCTCCGTGGCATCCAAGGTAACAGCATGGATCAAAGGAGTTTGCCAGAAGACTCACTCAATTCCCTGATTATTAAGCTGATCCAGGCAGATATTTTGAAAAACAAGCTTTCCAAGCAGATGGTGGACGTTAAGGAAAACTACCAGAGCACCCTGCCCAAAGCAGAGGCCCCGCGAGAGCCGGAGCAGGGCGAGGCCGCCAAGTCGGAATTCCAGCCCATGATCGCAATGGACACGGAACTGCTGCGGCAACAGAGACGCTACAACTCCCCGCGGGTCCTGTTGAGTGACAGCACCCCCTTGGAGCCCCCTCCCTTGTATCTCATGGAGGATTACGTGGGCAACCCCGTGGCGGCGAACAGAACCTCGCGGCGGAAGCGGTACGCGGAGCACAAGAGTCACCGAGGGGAGTACTCCGTGTGTGACAGCGAGAGTCTGTGGGTGACCGACAAGTCATCGGCCATCGACATTCGGGGACACCAGGTCACGGTGCTGGGGGAGATCAAAACCGGCAACTCCCCCGTCAAACAATACTTTTATGAGACGAGATGTAAAGAGGCCAGGCCTGTCAAAAACGGGTGCAGGGGGATCGACGACAAACACTGGAACTCGCAGTGCAAAACATCCCAGACCTACGTGCGCGCACTGACGTCAGAGAACAATAAGCTCGTGGGCTGGCGGTGGATACGGATAGACACCTCCTGCGTGTGTGCCTTGTCGCGGAAAATCGGAAGAACATAAATTGGCATCTCTCCCCGTATATAAATTATTACTTTAAATTATATGATATGCATGTAGCATATAAATGTTTATATTGTTTTTATATATTATAAGTTGACCTTTATTTATTAAACTTCAGCAACCCTACAGTATATAAGCTTTTTTCTCAATAAAATCAGTGTGCTTGCCTTCCCTCAGGCCTCTCCCATCTGTTAAACCTGACTCTGTGCCCCAGCTCTCAGGAGCCGCTCTGTAAAATCTGTGTACACCAGTACTTGGCACTCAGTATTGATTGTCAAGGCCATGACTGTCGTTTTAGTAAACTTGTTAAAATCAGATGATGTCAGAGTTGTGTGTAGACACAGTAACATCTGCCCCCCTGCCCCAGTATACTTCATGTTTGATTAATTGAAAACAGTTCTCACCTCCATGGAGAAGGATACCCCGGTAGCTTTGAGCCCTACTCTCAATTCTGGCCGCAAGTTCACTATCAAGAACTTGCTTTCCCTTTCTCGGCTGTCAGCTTGGCCAATCAGAATGATGATTCGCCCCAGTGGTATGTCCTGGAACAATTACAGCGAACCTGGCAGTTTTAGTTTTGGAAGTTTCTTTTCAGCACATTTGTTGTTTGGGGTTGTTGAAGGGTTGGATTTTTTTTTCTTTTTTTTTTTGGTTTTCGTGTTTGTTTTGTTTTTGTAAGTGGTTTTCATCCTTTAGATACATAGGAAAAAAATTTTAACTATTTGTAACAGAATAATTGTATGGTTACCCAGAAGCAGACTGAAATGGCTTGTGAATAGTCTACACACAGGAGAGGATTTACTGCTTGGAGCACCTTTGGCGCCTTCTCGGGCGGCGCCTCCTGGAGCTGCAGGAGGAATTAGAAACAGCTCCCGCTTTGCAGGCAGGCCTGGGTTCAAATCCCAGCTCCTCCCCTGCGACTTAAAGCACGGCTTGGAAGCCACCCTGAGCCTGTGTTGTCCAGAGTCAGAAAGACAGATGGGGTTCTGCCTACCTCACAGGGCTGTCCTGGAGACTCAGCTAAATAACCCCCGCACACTTCTGGCATAGGGTGGGCACTCAAGAGTGATCGCCCCTTCCCCCTCCCCTCCTCTTCTTTCTCAGCTATTGTGTGTCTCTGTATCATGTGTTTTTTAATATGTTTTATCAAACAACTATTCAGCACAAAAGTTTTAAGCAAATGAACCTGCGATGCCAATAAATTCAGGAAGATAATTTATGCCAATTTTGAGAGCATCAAGTTTGGAATTTTTTAATAATCACGTACAAGGTTCTTGACAGTCTAGCTCCGCCCTCTTTCTAGTTTCGCCTCTGGCCACTCTCTGACCAGTGCTCCTCTGCGTGCTGGGCAGCCTGCTGCTCTGTCAGTGAACTTCTCTCCTGAAAGCTTTTCTCTTCTTGCTCGGCTGCTGTGTGTCTCCATCGTTCTTGATTGAGTCATCACTTTGCAGTATAAAAGCTCAAATGGAAGGTATCTCCCTAGTGCCTACTGGGTCTCAGAAGGAGTCACAGCAGCCAAGGGGTCCCTGTGGGGATGGCCACACCTGTCCTGCCACGGCAGGCCTGAGGAGGACACTAGTGGTCCCCCAAGCTCTTGAGGTTGGAACCTGAGGAATCTCATCTCCCCTCTTGTCACAGTTGCAGGGTGCCCCCATCCCACTGCGGAAGCATCGTCCCTGCCCTGCCGTCCTGTCCTGGGCCTTCCCTGGACTGCCCTGCCTTCAGGGCCCAGATGCGCTCTCTCCGTCGAGATCAGCCCATGCCCCAGGACCTCTTTAGAACATGCCCAATGTGAGGTGTGTCCTCCATGTGCCACAAGTCTTTGAAACAGGCTCAGCAAATAGCAGTGACTGGTGAAGAGCATCGTTCCACTGCACTTGATTCTAGGTGCCTAGAGGAGGGTAGAGAGTGAGGAATTTGCCCCATGCCCTTTGTGTGCTAGGCACTGCCAAACACATCCACCATCAGTGGTCACAGGTCCTTTGTGGTAGTCACGGTCATCTCCAGTTAACAGGTGCGGAAACTGGGGCTTGGGAATTTAACTTGCCCATGACTGCTGAGCAGGTAAGTAGGAAACGAAGATTTAAATCTCTGTTTGAATGATGACGCAGTCCTGTTTCTCCCTCACTAGTCTCTCCCTATTCCCCTTCTGCATGGCACATTGCATTTCAGAATGCACATTAAAATCCTAGAAAAGTGAAAAGTGTAGTTCTCTGTATGGAATCCTTTCATGAGCCTACAGCAAACCCACTGATAGGGTAGTGGAAGGCTTGTGCTTGACCCAAGCCCAGATCTCAGGCTGGAACTTCTATTCCTCTTCTGGAACTTCTATTTCAAATGAGTAGAGGGCTGGTCTAGAGGGTCTGGTTGCCTGGGGAGATGGGCTTGGGTAACAGAGGCCCCAGACCCCAGCCTGGAAAGCCACAGTCCTTAAACAGCAGGGCTGAGTCCTGGGCCCTGCCTCGAATGGAAGGTGTCTGCCTCCGTGTCCAGAGTGGGTCTGGAATGGCATGCGTGGAGGGCAGGTGCAGCTCCGAGGAGAACATGAACATGGGGAGGAGAGGAAACCTTCCTGAAAGGATCTCAAGGCTTCAGGCCATGTGACAGCTCTGCTTCTCCCACGCCGGGCAGCAGAGCAATGAAGCATTATCCAGGTCCATTTCAGTTACTTCATTAGCGTTAGAGGGCATTCACATACTGCCAAGGTCAACACGTTAGGTGTATGGGCCCAGGACAGAGCCTTCTCGAAGGTTCATAGCAGGCTTACTTTTATCCAGTGTGTACATTTGCCATTGTGATAGGTTGAAAATCAAACTCATCTTTGCAATTGGAGGAGCCTTGGAGGGCTGGTGTCTGGCTCCTGGAAACGCCACACTCTCCTCCATCTTCCCTCATTGCTTGGATATCCCTGGATACCTCAGCTGTCCTGACGGGAGCTCTCTGCATCATGAGATTCCACTGCAGGCTGGACGGTCCCCACTTCTTAGTGAATGCCACACTCTCTGCCACTGGTGGAAGCTTCTGTCTGCCCTCTTATCCACCTCTAAGGTTCCCCTATTTGTGGACTGTGTGAACTTGAGCAAGCTATTTAACCTCTCTGAGCCTCTGCTTCCTTGTCTATAAAATGAAGATGGTGCTTACTTCCTAAGATTGTTCTGCAGTGTAATGAAACCATCCAGTTCCCGACACATAGGAAGCCCCTGAGTGTGACATCATGATGACGATGTTGACGACAACTAGCTTTTGTGGGGTTTTCAGGAGCCTTCATTCTGGAATTCTGGTAGGAATTTCTCAGCACCACAGTGTAGCTGTAGCCAGCATCTACCCCATGGGAGGCAGCCCCCAGGGTAGCATTTGCTCAGTGCCAGTGGCCCAGTCTCACTGACGGACCTTGAGTCCGTCTCAGTGTACACACTAGGGGCGGATTGCAAACTCTGTTCAGAAAACTACTAGCAACCTACCTGATCTTCTGGAGAGAGAGAGAGTGTGTGTGTGTTTCGTTCCTCCTTGCAAATTTCCAAGACAGCTTTGTTCTTGTTCTCATTCTCCCTCCCTCAATCCTTCCCTCCCTCCCCTTTGTATCCAACAATGTTTTCTCCAGGCTGGTGGTTTAGGGTTTGGCGTTTTTGGGGGATTGCTTTGCTGGGTCCCTTTCCCAGATGTGTGTGTTTATGTGTGTTTTTTACTTTGTTTACTTGATGCAAAAACCCTCCATTGATGCTTGGAGAAACCATCTGCATGTATTTTATCACCTTTGAACATGTGTTTGAGCATGAAATCTGTGTAGTCCATTTATGACTACCTGGAGATTTGTCTGGCTTCACCAGGAAGATGCTTCAAGGTCTCACAGCCCTGGGTGTGCAAAGCCAATGCCAGGTCGTTGGCGAGGCCCAGCTTCACCTCACAGAGCTCCAGCTTGCTCAGTCTCAGAGAGCATACTCAAACCTGGAGAACAGACAACTGTCTACCCACTCTCAGCCCTGATAACCCTGGCCAGAGGGCCTTAAACATGCTCAGTTCCACAGACAAAGGAATTGCCACAGCCACCGAAGACTGATTCTCTCACTGGAACCTTCTTCAGCCTGACCCTCTTCCTCAAAGTCCCCATCTCCATATCTAAGAAGATCCAAAGTCCTTATGCATGCCTTCTCAGGTTACAGTGAACAAGTGGACTTCTCAAAAGGCACATGTGTTTCACAGTGAGCTGAATGCAAGTGCCTCTGTGGTGACTGCAAACCCTGGGGTTTTGGTTGGCTCCAGATGGAGGTCAGCCCAGCTTGGACGAGAAGAACCACAGAGCAGGTCGAAGCACTCTGAAGGCCCGTCGATTTGTTGCCTTCTGTTCTTGTCTTGTGTTTGGTTACAGCACATGAAAGGCTAATGAAGCAAGCACAGTTGTGCCTGCAGCAGGGAGGAGTAAGGAGGCAGAGAAGGCAATGGCCCAAAGGTATCAAGTCTTTTCTAGAAGCGGATGAGTTTGGCTGGGTTGATTTGCTGCAGAGTTCAGCAATGGCATTGCCTGTTCAATTAGAGACATCTCTGCAGCAAGAAAGCATAAAAGTTTATTGGGAAATTGTGAAACAGCCTAATGAGTTAGATGGCTTTTCACATGGAGGTGTATGGAGGTGGGTGGGCGTGCATGTGTTTGCACATGTGTATGTGTGTGTCCTTTGCATGCATGTGTGTCCATGTATGTGTGTAGTTGCTTTGATATCCTAGCCATTAATGCATTGAAGTTTTTAAAGGAAAGGTAATGCTTGAAAAGAATGTTCCGGAATACAAGTTTAACCCTTAGGAGACAGAGCGGGTAGCCAGCTGGGGAGCATATGGAAAATGAACATTCTTGGGGCTAGAAAACAGGCTGGTCTGAGTTGAGGATTTGCAGACAGGATTTGCAGGCATCAGGCCAATTCCACCAGCCCAAACAGAAGGAAGTAAAGTTGTGGATCTTTTGATTTGGTAGGAAAGCACTGGAAGCTAGTGTGGGTTTAGGGGGAGAAGATAAGTGAAACCAAAGAATAAATAATAGTAATGGTTGTCATTCACCGGCTGCACCCTCCACGTAAGGCACTGTGTACATCCTAGTAATTTAACTCTTTTGTGCACTTGAGGACATATAGTTAAGT